ATAATTCTACTGAATATAATAAAAATGCTAGACAAACAGATATATTTGAAATTTCTTTATATTGTTGAGATTTTCCATTAACCTGCTTAAAATTTTGTATAACAAATAGATGCTTGCAAAAATGAATCACATTCCCATGTAAAAATTTCATTTTTTATATTATGGATAATTATTGGAATATATATTGATTCCATTTACAATTTTTGATCCAAATATGTATTCATCATTCTGCAGACTACTATTAATCCCTTTCTAAAAAGGCTGTTCAAAAAGCAAAGAGTAAAACTCTGTTGTGGCAAATTGTCTACTTTTTTCATTTGTGTAAAATTCTGACATAACCTTCACAAAAGAAAGAATTTCTTTACATATTTCCATATTCATTTCAATAGTTGAACAGTCTTTGAGAAATTGTGAGAGAACTTCATGGTATAAAACAACAGGTTGTTCAATATAATCTGAATTTGGTAGGCGATGACATTGTATATTGGCATTCTTTTGATGTTTTGGGAATAATCAATGTACAGCAGCAACAGATAGAGAATCAACCAAATGAATGTGATCAATAGTAAATAATTATTTCTTTCTCATGGTGATAACATCTCCAGCCCATTCACGCTTGGTTCCAGTAAAAACTATAATAAAATAATAGCAGTAACAGATAAAAGGAAAAATAACCAATGAAGTTGTTTATAATTTGTAAATGTAAAATATTCAACATAAAATTGTTCTTACCTGACTCTTTAATGAATCCTTTAATAGATAAAAGATAAATAGAAAACAAAAGAATTAATTCAGGATAAAATGAGTGGATGGATAGATTTAATTAAAATGAAATATTTAATAATCGATATTGCAAACAGTATACGATTACTCAAATGGATAGGTAACGGGAACCGTTGTAATGTTCGAAGCGTTAAATTATAACGATCATGTCACAGAAAAACAATTTAAGAGTAACCACATCTGGAAATCAGATCATATGACAAGACAATATAACAATACATCTTATTAGTCGATCACACGTGCGGACAAGATGGACATTGCATCAAAATGAGTCTAACCGAAGATGACCTCAGCTACGCTTCGGACAAATAAACAAAATGGAATGAATGAAAATAAATTTTTTACGCGATTTGTTCATTACCTTCCCTTACACTGAAATTCATTAACACATCCTGCAACTTCTTCACCTGCTCTTTCCAATAGTCATTATTTTTTCCAACTCTTCTCTTTCTTTCTTCAACTCGGCCAACCTCTTTTCCTGTTTTTCACCCAAGATCCCCTTTATAAATTCATCTTCTATCTCGTTCAACTTCTCCCCTTTATATTTATTTCCCTTTCTCCCACTTCTCAAACTTCTCCACGGCCTTCTCATAAAATCTTTTTGCATCGGCATAATAATTTTTTGCATCGTCATATTCGGATTTAATTACTTCCGTCATGTTTATTTTTTTAAAAAAAATTATTTTTAAAAAAAATTTTTTTAGATCGTTTCTTATGCAAAATTTCGACCATTGATAAATTAGTAGGCACATGACTTGGAAAAACCAATTCCGCCAATCAATTTTTTACAATAATTACTACATATAGTAAGATTTGCTGAAAATTACACTATATTTTTGGCGAAATTGGTTTTTAATTAGCCAAATGATTTATCTGAGAGACTTTATTCGTAAGAATAAGAGTTTGGAGTTAGGAAAAGCTGGCTTTGAAAATTATGATATAAATTCTTTAAAGCCTTATTGCTTCTGCTGATTATATTTTAAAATAAATATTTAGTTGAATTATAGCTATAAACATAATTTGGCTTGAATGTTATAAGTTTCTGTAATAATATTTTCTGGTTTTTACTCAATTTTAAAATTCAATTTTAGATATATTAAAAATTATTATAAAGTTTAAAATTTTTTTATAAAATTTTTGTACAGATGATTTTTTTGAAGTTTTTACGAAAAATCAGAATTAAATGGTAGTACAATTTGATAAATTTTGATACAATATTCACTTTTGTTACTTTTGTTGTGGTTTTTCTTTTTCTCTCAAAAACTAACTCAAAAAGTAATACTGTTAAAAAAAAAGTTCATAATATGAAGAAATTAGATAATCAACTAACAATTCAATTAAATATTAAAAATAACTTGGGGCAAAATATCGTTGGAATTCTAGAAAGAAAATCATTGAATGATACCTTTGGAGCGAAACTTGGAATTATTTGTCATGGGTTTTCTGGTAATGCTAGCTGATAGACATTATTTGTAGTGGTGTCAACATACTTAATCATCAAATTATCTTGCAATATAGGACATAAGAATTATTTATTTCAAACAAAATTATCTAAAGAATTACCTTTTGATAATTTTCGATTTGATTTTAGAGGAAATGGAGAGAGTGATGGTTTACCAAAATTTTTTAAATTACAGGTAAAATAAAATAAATAAAAAAAAAAAAAAAATAAACAAAATTTAATATGTTATATTTTATGTATATAAGGATGATGTTGAAGATATCGATACAGTTGTAAGATATCTTGAAAGTGAATTTGGATACAAATTATATGCAGCGATTGGTCATTCCAAAGGTAATTTTTTTTTTTTTTTTAAAAAAAAAAAAAATAGGTTTGTTTTTAAAATAATTAATTTATTTTTATAAATTTTTTTCTAGGATCTAATTCCATTTTATTATACGCATGTTATGTTAACCGTAATATTCCACATATAATTAATTTATCTCCTCGTTATTATTTACCAGCAATTCTATCAAAAATGGAAAATTCTAAAGTGGATTTATTGATGAAGCAGGGATATGCTTATTGGGAGGATAAAAGTGGAGTTGGAATAAAAATTACATTAGAGGAACTTTATTTTGACAATTCCTTTGGTACGCATATTAAATTATTTTTCCCTTAAAAAAAATTTGATCTGATTGAAATGAATTTTTTTTTTAGTTTCTAATATGCCGGAAACAACTACTGTGTTAACATGTCATGGAATTGCAGATGAGGTAGAATATATTTCTTTTTCTATCTTTTCATATTATTAATAATAATAAGATTCCTTTTTAAAATCATTAGGTAATTCC